CCAGACCCTGTCTCAAAAAAAAAAAAAAAAAAAACAACTGATCTCTAAACTGTCATTTTATTTCTGTTTTGTTTTTTCTGTAGAGATGGTCATATCACCACCAAGTAATGATAGTTGCATTTTTTTTCCAATGTTCCCAAGTAATGATAGTTGCATTTTTTTTCCAATCTTCATGCCTTGTGTTTATTTTTTCTTATCTTAATTCTGCTAGTTATGCTCTCTGTTCTGCTGAGTCATCATTATGGACCTCCTCAGCTTGTTCCTGATTGTAAAGAGAGTGCTTCAAAAGGTTCCCCATTAAGAATGATTTTAATATACCCTTTATTGGTTAAACAATTTTCCTTTTCCTATGTTGCCAAGAGCTTTTTTTAAAGCTTGACTTATTATTGAATATCATTAAATACTTGTTCTGCTTCCTTTAATTCATGAATGTAGTCAATTATATTAATCAGTTTTTTTTTTACATTGAGCCAAGTTAGTGTTCCTGGAACAAATTCAACTAGATTATGATATATTATGTTTTTATGCATAGTTGAATTTGTTTTGTTAATATTTTACTTAAGATTTTTTATTGAAATGGTCTGTATTCATCGAAATTCGTCTATAATTTTCCTTTCTTGTCTGTTAAATCTACTTTGCATTACTTATGAGTTTTGGAGTGTTTGCTCTTTTTTTCTGAAATAATGTATATAAAATTAAGATCGCTATTCCTTAAATGTTTTATGATACTTGTTTGTGTAAAGCAGTTAGAAACAACTGATTCCATTTTTTATTGTTTACTTCTGGGTCGATCCTAGTGGATTATCTTTTTGTAGTAATATATCCATTTCATCGTAAATTTTCAAATTTATTGGCAAAAAGTTGCCCATAATCATAGTATCTTCTCACCTTAATTTTTATTATTTTTTAATTGAGATGAAGTGTCGCTCTGTTGCGCAGGCTGGAGTACAGTGGCGTGATCTCAGCTCACTGCAACCTCTGCCTCCCAGGTTCAAACGTTTCTCTTGCCTCAGCCTCCTGAGTAGCTGGAATCAGGCACACCCACCATGCCCGGCTAATTTTTGAGTTTTTAGTAGAGATGGGGTTTCATCATCTTGACCAGGCTGGTCTTGAACTCCTGACCTTGTGATCCACCCATCTCCACCTTCCAAAGTGCTAGGATAACAGGCGTGAATCACCGCGCCTGGCTCTCACCTCAATTTTTGCTGCATATGTTATATTTCCCCCATTTACTCCTGATACTGTTTTTTTTATACTTTTTTCTTTTTTTTCTGGATATGTTTTTTTTTCTCTCTCTCTCTCTTTTTTAGGGCATTCAGTAATACTGGATATGTTTTTTAAAGAAATTACTTACGTTTATTTTATTATATTATTATTTTTTATATGTAGATATGGCATCTCGCCATGTTGCCCAGGTTGGCCTAAGCCTTAGCCTCCTAAAATATTAGTATTATGGGCATGAACCACTGTGCCCAGCTTTAAAATAATTGTTATTGGTATTTCCTAAGAACCTAAATACCAGATTTTATCTTTGTGGAGCCTCTATTTTCTATTTTTATTTTCTATTTTATTTAACTTCTTCCTTCCACCCCCATTCCCTTTCTTCCCCTTCTGTCATTTCCTTTGGATTTATTCCATTACCCTTTTAAAACGTTTCTTTAGATGCTTACTCAGTCTTTATTTTTTCCAGAATAAACATTAAGATTACAGACTTCCCACTTAAGTACTGTTTTATCTGTATCTCACATATTTTGGTATGCGGTATTACTAATGTCGTCTATTTCCAGACATTTGTCCTTTCTTTTATGGTTTAATCTCTCACCTATGATTCATTTAGAAGCATGGTTTTAAATTTCCAAATATATGGCATATTTCAACTTTTGTAACAGATTTCTTTCTTTTCTTTTTTTTCTGAGACATAGTCTCACTCTGTCGCCCAAGCTGGAGTGCAGCGGTGTGATCTTGGCTCACTGCAACCTCTGCCTCCGGGGTTCAAGTGTTTCTCCTGCCTCAGCCTCCCTAGTCCTGGAATTATAGGCATGCCCCACCACACCCAGCTAATTTTTTGTGTGTATTTTTAGGAGAGACAGGGTTTTACTATGTTGGCCAGGCTGGTCTCGAACTCCTGACCTGAAGTGATCCGCCTGCCTCAGCCTCCCAAAGTGCCGGGATTACAGTCGTGAACCACCGCGCCCGGCCTGTTTTTGTGGTTGTTGTTGTTATTGTTTTTGAAATAGAGTCTTCCTCTGTTGCCCAGGCTGGAGTGCAGTAGGGCAGTCTCATCTTCTGCAATCTCTGCCTCCCAGGTTCTTGCCATTCTCATTCCTCAGTCTCCCGAGTAGCTGAGATTACAGGCATGTGTCACCACACCCAGCTAATTTTTGTGTTTTTAGTAGAGTTGGGGTTTCACCATGTTGGCCAGGCTGGCCTCCCAACTCTTGACCTCAGGTGATCCACCCTCCTGGGCCTCCCACAGTGCTGGGATTATAGGCGTGAGCCATCACACCCAGCCTTAGCCTGTTTTTCATGCTCTTCACGATATTGTTCAAGTTCACTGTTACAAGAAAGCTCACCTGTGATTGTTTCCAAATATGAATATGCTGTGAAAAACTGCAGATAGACCAGCAAGACTTCTGGGTTATACTAAGACAATTCCTCCATATAAGAAGTCACATAGGCTGGGCCCAGTGGTCACACCTATAATCCCAGCACTTTAGGAGGCCAAGGTGGGTGGGTTACCTGAGGTCAGGAGTTGAGGACCAGCCTGGCCAACGTGGTGAAACCCTGGCTCTACTAAAACAATTAAAAAAAAAAATTAGCCAGGCATGGTGGCGGGTGCCTGTAATCCCAGCCACATGGGAGGCTGAGACAGGAGAATCACTTGAACCCAGGAGGCACAGGCTGCAGTGAGCCGAGATTGCACCATTGCACTCCAGCC